ACTGTCTTTTTAGCTCATTAACTCATACCATCTCTTTAGGACTAAAACTCAGGCACTGGCAAAGTATCGAGCTGTGTTTACATTGATAGCCATCATGTAAATTGATTAAAGTGATGCCTCTCATGACTTGCACTCCTGTCTCACACCATCTCATTTTCATACTCAAGTCAGTCTGGTCCTGCTTCTATATACAGATCAATCTCCCAAGCTTCTACCAGCTTTTCGAGATGGTTAGGTGCCTATCTGTTCTTCAAACAATTCTTTTCAGTGAGGCCTTTTTCATGTTAAATCAAAGTTATCTTCTCTCTACGTCTCTTGTCCAAGTTAAAATTCCAGACAGGGTGCACAGGTGGCAGTGCTGTGACCATACCTTACTCTGCAGTCTGTCAAGTCCTCTCACTTCCATGGTACTAGATAAACACCACGCTTCCAAAACAAGGTTATTACTGTTAACCACTATATGGTTAAAAGAACAAGGCCCCCATGGTGAGGAAGGAGTGGGAGTGGGGCTGGGGCTGGTGCAGGGACAGGGGCAAGCACTTCCCAGCCAGGGCAGGGCAGACGGGGGACAGAGCCACAGCTTGTCCGGGGGGCATGGGGGGACGAAGGGGGGTGGCTCCTGCCACTATGTGCCACCGGTCCAGGAGCTGCTGGTCTAGCGCTCATCCACCAACTCCCACCACTGCTCCCATCGCTCATCTGGGAGTGTATGGAGGGGGTGTGTGCCCCCAGATTTGCACAGGGCAGGCCAGGAAGAGCCCCACACAAGCCCAGCCCCAGCCCGTCCCACCCCATACAGATCCAGGGGCACACGCCCACCCCAACCATGCCCTCCTGGATGAGTGGGTGAGCGCTGGACCAGCAGTGTGCAGCAGTGCAAACCACCCTCCCACACACACCTCCCCACACCCCCCAAATGAGCCACAGCTCTGTCCCATGCTCGCCCCGCCCCAGGTGGGCTTCACTTGCCCCAGCCCCTGCCGGGCTATGCTCCTCTCTATGCTGCTGGGCTGTGCTCCTCACTGCCTACATGCTGTGTTGCGGCTGCACACACAGGCATTTATCAGCCAAATTATCAGCCACATCAGGCTGATTTACAATAAGATCAATTTTCTTTATACTGGTGCAGATCCAACATCGGACTGATGTATCAGCGCACCTCTAGAAAACACCTTATACTATTTTGTCCTAATCAAATAAAACTATCCTTAATCCAGTCTCATAATTTAGTTTTAATCTAATCCAAACCTGAACCATTTCCCTGACAGAACCATTGCTAACAATATTTAGGTTTTGAGAAACAGCAAGATGCCTCTTTTCTTCATGAGGTAGAAAGTAAGTAGGAAAGGTACATGATGTATTTTATATATTGGTTCATTTATGTTAAGCTGTTAGGCATGTGGGGTCTTTAAGAAGAGGCTGGATGCCTACCTGGCTGGACTCATTTGAGTCCCGTTTTTGGTTTTTTTTGTTTTTAGGGTTTTTTGTTGTTCTCCTGCCCTGGCGGGGGGTCGGGCTAGAAGATCTATTAGGTCCCTTCCGACCCTAAAACTATGAAACTATGAAACTATGTGACTGAGCCAAAAGAGAAATTACAGCAAAGCTATTCTTACAGTACAGTAGGGACTGAGCATGGTCATTTCCTAGAAACAGATCCAATAATCCAACTAAGATTATGGTAACAAGAAGATAACAATAAACCACATAACAATTCAAAGAAGTTTAAACAGCTGGCACTGTTATCATCACTTGAAATTCCCATATTTCATGCCAATATGTTTTTCTGTGAGGAGGGTGGAAAAGGTTCAGGTGAAGTACAGGAAATCAAAATGAACTTTTTCCAAGAGGTTCCATCCTGCGATGAAAGCAACTCTACTGTAACAGCCCAGAAAATAAGTACACTACATGAAATACAAACAATCCAATTCTGTAGACTTCTCAACTTCTGTCATTCTAAAGGCAGATGTGCGTCACAGCTCTTCCATTTCCAGACAGTTTTCAATGTCTTAGCGTCATTAACACTAAAGTACTTGGGAATGTGTACAAGTTAATACTTTCTGTGCATGGAAATAAAATAATCTAGAATGGGGGTGCTCAATCCCCAGCCCACGGGCCAAATGCAGCCTGTGGAGCCTCGGAATCTGGCCCACAGGCCTCCCCACAGGTTAAGAAATTTGGCAGTAGGGGAGCAGTGGCAGTATTGCCACCCCTCCCTACTACCAATATCATAAGACCCACAGAGCAGATAACAGCTGGGCTAGGACCATTGCCCTGAACACCCCAAATGAAGCCAAGCCATGACCCCTTCCCTCTGGGCAGCATGGTTGGGGCCATGCCATGCTCCTTTCCCCACTGCAGAGCTGTGCCACACCCCCTCCTCCCACACAGCTCATTAAGGGCCGGGACATGCCCCCTTCCCTCCACCCAGCCAGATCAGGTCCAGATCATGGCCCCTCCATACTGTGGGGCCAGGCTGAGACTGGCCCAATCCCCCTTTCACCACACTTGCTGTCCCCACTCTGCATGGCTGGGTGGAGCCCTGCCAGATCCAGCCCATGGAGGGATCGGACACTGCTCATCTACCTAGCCAGCCAGAAAGGTTGAGCACTACTGATCTAGAACAACTGATAATTGTCATTTGTAAGCTATAACATCTGCCATTCTCTGTAAAGTGATACGGTGAAGTTCTTGATATATATTTTTTACAAGTCAGCAACATATGGCAATGCTAACAAGTAACTGCTTCAAAATGGTCAGATTGCCATGATCACCAAAAAGATCACTG